GGTGATCCTGTTGCCTCAAACCGCAATATTGTTTGGGAAAAAATAACAGAGTTGGGTTTAAACCGGAAAAAACCATGGCTAATGATTGGTGATTTTAATGAGTTGACTGGAAATCATGAAAAGACAGGTGGTAATTTACGATCAACAGCTTCTTTTGTTCCTTTTAATCTTATGATTCGACATAACGGTATGTTAGAATTTTCGTGCTATGGTGAACAATTATCATGGAGAGGTAATAGAAACCAACAGATTGTGCGATGCAGGCTTGATCGGGCTTTGGGAAATGAGGATTGGCACAATTTGTTCCCTTACTCAAAAGTGGAATATCTGGATATGATTGGCTCTGATCATAGACCAATTCTATTGAGTTGCGAAAAATCTTTGGCTAGGAGGAAAAGACAATTTCGGTTTGACAAGAGATGGGTTGGGAAGGATGGTCTTAATGAGGCCATAGATTCGGGTTTGAATCGAACAAGAAATTTTAGAATTCCTGTTTTTGTGGATAAAATTAAAAATTGTAGAAATTCTATTTCATGGTGGAGGAAAAATAATATCCCGACAGGTCAGGCTAATATTTCTTCTCTTAAGTTGGCTTTGGAGGAAGCAAAGAATGATGATTCGATTCCGCAAGAGGAGATAAAAAGAATCGAGAATAAATTAAAGGAAGCCTATCATGACGAGGAGATTTATTGGAAACAAAAAAGCAGGAATTTTTGGTTAAAAGTGGGAGATAAAAATACCAAATTCTTTCATGCTTCCACAAAAAAAAGAAGGGCAAGAAATAAGATTTCAGGGTTATATGGTCCTAATGATGTTTGGGAGGAATCAGAAGCAGGAATAGAAGAGATAGCATCTAGCTACTTTAAGGATCTTTTTAAGGTTTCCAATACAAATGGCATCGCTGAGATGGTACAGGAAGTATCTCCGATTATTACGGAAGCTATGAATAGGGAGCTAACCAAAGAGGTTACAGAAGCAGAAGTTAGGAAAGCCTTATTTTCCATGCACCCGGAAAAGACACCAGGCCCAGATGGAATGACGGCTTTGTTTTATCAAAGGTTTTGGCACTCTTTAAAAGTAGACTTAGTAGGTTTGGTCATGGATTTTTTTCAGAACAGGATGTTTTGATAAGAGAATAAACGAAACAAATATTTGTTTAATTCCAAAGACCGAAAGGCCACAGAGGATGGCTGAGTTTAGGCCAATAAGTCTCTGTAATGTGAGTTACAAGATTATTTCAAAAATCCTTTGCCTAAGGCTTAAAAAAATTTTACCTCGGCTAGTCTCTGAAACACAATCGGCTTTCGTTTCAGGTAGACTTATTACAGACAACATATTGCTAGCTCAGGAAATGTTTCATGGACTAAGGACAAATAGAATGTGTAAGACGGATTTTTTAGCCATTAAAACAGATATGAGCAAAGCATATGACAGGATAGAATGAGAATTTTTGGAGGCGGTTATGTCACGGTTGGGATTCAATTCTAGTTGGATCTCTTGGATCATGTGGAGTGTTAGTTCCGTTTCGTATGAGGTTTTATTGAACGGGGAACCTAGAGGGAATATCATTCCCAAAAGAGGTTTACGGCAGGGTGATCCCCTATCGCCTTACTTGTTTATTTTATGTACGGAGGTTCTGATTGCTAATATTAAAAAAGCAGAAAGAGAAAAGAAGCTGACCGGAATTAAAATAGCAAAAAGAAGTCCTCCGATCTCGCATTTGCTTTTTGCGGATGATAGTCTCTTTTTCTGTAAGGCAGATACAGAGCAGTGTAAAACGGTAATGGATATTATTGGAAATTATGGTAAAGCTTCAGGGCAAGAAATAAATTTCAGTAAATCTTCGATCTTATTTGGTAAGCGTGTAGCAAACCAAAAAAAAGACGAACTAAAACATCTTCTTGGAATTTCTAAGGAAGGTGGAATGGGTACATATTTGGGTATACCAGAGAGCCTAGGGGGCTCAAAAAGTAAAATCTTCAATTACGTTCGGGAAAGACTTAATGAACGGATTAATGGTTGGTCAGCTAAATATCTGTCAAAAGGTGGGAAAGAGACAATGATCAAGTCCGTTGCTTTGGCTCTCCCAACATATGTTATGTCTTGTTTTAAGCTTCCCCAAGACTTAACATCTAAGTTAACAAGCGCTATTTCTAATTATTGGTGGAGTTCCAATGGAAAAGACCGTGGAATCCATTGGATTGCATGGGAGAAAATGTGTATGGATAAAGAAGAAGGAGGGTTGAGCTTTCATTCTCTAGATACTTTTAATGACGCCATGTTGGCTAAACAGTATTGGAGATTAATCCAGTACCCAAACTCTTTAGTAGCTCGTGTGTTAAGAGGTAGATATTTCAGGAATGTTCATCCTTTAAACGCTAAAAAGCCAAACTCTCCATCGTTTGGATGGAAGAGTATTTTCTCGACTAAAACACTTGTTGAGATGGGTGCAAGATGGTCCCTAGGTTCGGGTTTTAACATATCCGTATGGCGAGATCCTTGGATTCCCGATGTGAATCCACGCCCTGCAAATGGAAGAGGGAATTTGTTACTTCCAAGCCTAATGGTTAATCATTTAATTAATCCAGTTACAAAAGAATGGCACCTCCCAATCTTACAAGAATTTTTGGATCCGGTGGATATTCAAATTATTAGTGGACTAGCTATTAGTCAAGTTTATAAACCAGATAGGCTTATTTGGCATTATACAAAATCAGGAAAATATACAGTTAAGTCAGCATATAGACTTGCTCGAAGTTTGACAGAAAATATCGAATGGGGCCCAAATTTTAGAAAATTACAAGCACAAGCTTGGAAAGTCAAAGCTCCACCAAAGATAAAACATTTCTTATGGCAAATTGCTTCGGGATCCTTGGCAGTTACCTCAAAATTAGCACATCGAGGGATTCACTGTGATATTATCTGTAAAAGGTGTGAAATGGCAGAGGAAACAATAAATCATGCCTTATTTGAATGTCCTCATTCCAAAAATATATGGGAATTATCAACAATACCTATGGTTTCAGGCTCTTTTCCTCTAAGCTCGGAATTTTCAAATCTAGATTATCTTTACTGGAGGTTACCACCTCCTATAGATGGGGGAGAAAGAACCAACTGTTTTGCTTGGATTTTGTGGTTCATTTGGAAAGATAGGAATAAAAAGGTTTTCAAAGGAATACAATCTGAACCCATAGAAATTTTAAATCACGCTTTGAGTGAGAATTTAATGTGGGAAGATGCACAATTGGAACCGATCGAAACTAGAATTATTACGGAAATTTTGAAAATCCCAATCCAATCTTTAAGATGTCGGATTGATGGTTCTTGGAAATCTTCGGATCCAACTATGGGTTTAGGATGGTGGTGTTTTCAAGGAAATGATCAAACGATACTACTTGGTGCAAAGTGCCTCCGGAGATCTCCCTCCCCCCTTCACTCGGAGATGGAAGCTTTAATTTGGGCCATGAAGAATATCCTTTCACGAAGGATTGATTGTCAAGCGTTTGAAACAGATTGCTCAGAGTTAGTATCGATGGTACAATCACCTGAAGAATGGCCCGCCTTCTCCAATCTGCTAGATGCTTTTGGACTGCTCCGTGTCTCCTTTCCCTTATTCTCGCTTTCTCTTATCTCTCGTTTATGTAATGTTAAAGCGGACTGCTTAGCTCGTTCTTCTAGAATTTTATTTTCCGAATTTACTTTTGTAAACACTATTCCTCCTAATTGGGTTACCAATCAAGGAGTTTTTTAATAATTAATGTGTGGTTGACAAAAAAAAAATATATATATATCATTTTCATGTATTTAGCATAAATTTAGAAAAAATACATCAACCCGCGGTGTACCGCGGGTCAATTTCTAGTTACAAAGATGACTGCTTCGTTGTTTTATGGCCGATCTTGTGCTTATTGGTAGGAGTAAACAGGTCTAGACGCAAAACAGATACCGACGAGAAACTGAACATGTAATATTCTTTCCGGAACAGATTGACCAACAAATTACCTGAAACCTTAACTTCCTGATTTCTTACCTAGTAAAACTAAAAGAATTGACAATGAATATGTTAATAGTCCATACCCTTTGGCCTTTATACACTACTGTTGGTAAATTAATTCTCACTGTTGATGTAGAATGTATAACAACATCGTATTGCATGCCAAGTCTGCACGTCCGGACAACAACAAAATGTCATCTCGTCTAGATAACTCAGTTTCATTAGGATTTAGTGGGATGCTATTGCATATATCGGTATCAATAATATGGTCTTCAAAATGAAATTCTCTATGTGAAATGGTTTATGATTTTATTATTCAATTTTTGGGAGGTCTAAAAAATAGAAACAACCGTTTAGTTAAGTGATAACGAATGTGATTTGTTTTCCGTTTCCGACTAAACACATAATTTTTTTCATGTATCTGTTATTTGTTAATATGTTAAATTTCAAATAAAATTTGTGACTTAATAAATTATCCGAGGTGAAAAACTATTATAGGTAGTTAACCCTTTTTTATATACATTTTTACGTATATATACAAGGATTCAGAGTAATGATTGTTGATATGTTGTTTATATCGAAACAAAAGGGACTTGACATGATATTTCTGTTCATATTCTTGTCATCTTCAGAGGGGAGACACTGCCATCAAATTATAGCGGATGATGTCATTGCTTATGTAAGCATGAAACTTCAAATGCAAAACTAAAAACCACTCAATTCCATAGACTTGGTTGGTCCATATCTAAATTGGTAGGTGCCAAATTTTTCTTGAACAATGAAATTTTTTGTATCCATTTATTTGATGGCAGTGTCTTTATCCATTATATTTTGACCCAACTGAAGCCCACAAAATCCGATGGTTAAGTATTTTTGGTTAGCTTTCCGGTTCGGTTTGGTTTAATTTGATTAGTTTCGATTCGGCTATTGATTTTTAAACCAAAATTAAACCGAACTCCGACTTCAGCCTCCACCTTCAAGCTTCGTCACCGAGTTTGGTCAGTGTAAATCCTGAGTCTGGAAAATTAGGGTTTTTGGGACTTGGGTGTGATTCCATAGCAGATATGGGGAAGAAGAAAGGAAACAAAGCAGCAGCTTCTTCAGATGATTTCTTACAAACGCTCGAAGATTTCACCAGCAAAGAGAATTGGGATAAATTCTTCACTCTCAGAGGCAACGACGACTCTTTCGAGTGGTATGCTGAGTGGCCTCAGCTCCGTGATTCGCTTTTACCTCTTCTCCAAGATTCTTCTTCTTCTTCTTCTTCTTCATCTTCATCTTCTGGTTCGCTTCAGATTCTGGTTCCTGGATGTGGAAACTCCCGCCTCTCTGAGCATTTGTACGATGCTGGATTCCGTGACATCACCAATGTTGACTTCTCCAAGGTTGTTATCTCCGATATGCTTCGTCGGAATATTAGGACTCGTCCTGAACTTCGTTGGCGAGTTATGGATATAACAAAGATGCAGGTTTTGGTTCCTTTTGAACTTTTGTACTCTGTTTAGTTGTTCTGTCTCTCAGTCACTAAAGCTTAAGTTCTCTTTTATTGCGCAGTTGGCGGATGAGTCTTTTGATATGGTTCTAGATAAAGGTGCTCTTGATGCTTTGATGGAGCCAGAAGTTGGTACCAAGCTCGGAAATCAATACTTATCAGAGGTATTAGTGAACTTCTTTTGTTTAAGAAATTGCATTATAATGGGATGAGTGTAGGATCAAACAATGAAAGTTATGTGCTTTAAATGCTTGAACTCGATTCAGTTTGATCAGTAGTAACTCTTTTCTTAGGCCAAGCGGGTTTTGAAACCTGGGGGGAAGTTTATTTGTCTAACTCTGGCGGAGTCTCATGTCTTAGGTACTTCCACCACCTTAGCTTCTCTTATTATTATTAGGTGAAGCTATTTCATAGTTATCGTTATCTTCATTCTATTGTCTGTTTAGTTGATATTCTGTAGTGTTTTTGCAGCATTGCTTTTTTCAAGATTTCGTTTTGGCTGGAAGATGAATGTTCATTCAATTGCTCAAAAACGCTCGAATCTTAAGACGTTTATGGTGGTGGCTGAAAAGGAAAATTCCGTTTTATTGCATGAGATAACCTCTGCTTTCGATCTTTTGTCTCTTGGCCACAATGATAGTCAGGTAATTATTTCCTGTTAAATTTGACATAATTTTAAATTGAAACCACCATTCCCTTTATATATCGATTTTTTCTAGTTCTTGAAGACACATTATGTGCAATTCTCCAATGTAATATACGATTCTGAATTATATAATGTAGGGCTCTGGTATGCGTGAAGCCCTCGAGAGTGAGAACCAAATACGTAGAGACTGCAATAATGGCTCAGACTTATTGTACTCTCATGAAGATTTGAAACTTGGTATTAAAGGAGATTTGGCAAAGCTTATTGGAGGGCGCCGTATAAAATTTACTTTGGGTGGCCAAGGAAGCAATTTCAGTTATAGGGCCGTGCTTCTTGATGCTCAGAAACAAACTGAGCCATTTGTGTATCATTGTGGTGTTTTTCTTGTCCCCAAGGTAGCTTTGTCAACATCATAAGTCCTTAATATTTAAGTTCTTGAAATTGCTGTGAATATATAATTTATTTTTGTTTGATTTATTAAAAGGAGTGTTAAATTTCAGACTCGTGCTCATGAGTGGCTGTTCTGTTCAGAGGAAGGACAGTGGCAGGTTGTTGAGAGTTCTCAGGCTGCTCGTCTCATAATGGTAAGCTATTTATGGTAAAACCTCTTTATATACAACATGTTACCGTGATCTATTTTCGGCATGAAAATCTAAACACATCTTAATTTCTTGATGAAGGTTTTTCTCGACAGTAGCCATAGTGGAGCCACCATGGAGGATATCCAGGTAGGTACTATCATCATTTTAAATTGTCTAATCCATTATGTTGTTTACTTATTGATTAATTTTATCTGGTAAACTTATTCATCTCAGAATGATTTATCTCCCATGGTGACACAACTAGCTCCTCGAAATGATGATGAAGAAGCTCGCATTCCGTATGTTTATCGTTCTTTTTTTACTATATTCTCCATGCTTTTGGTGCAACAACAATCTTAACTCATTCTATTTCCGCCGTTATCGCTTGTTAATTAAAAGTTGAATTGAATTGGTGCTGCAGGTATATGATGGCAAGTGATGGGATCAAAAAGCGTGATACTGTCCACGAGGTATTATTACTAGATATATGCAATTAATCACTTAATAAAACTGTTATTTGTTGTCGCTTCTATTTCTCGCCTTTTACAGATATGACCATTGTTTCCGTTATTGATCTCCGCGATTAGACTTGTATCCACCACTATTTTAGCAAATTTTAATACTACTGGGTGGTAAAAACACGTAGTTATGGGGATCTTTTTTGTTTCGTACTATTCATTTCGATTTGTAGGTTACATCTTCTTTGACTGGGAAAGTGGTTGTTGAAGATGTGGTTTATGAAAGCGCTCCTAGTAATCTCGAAGACTTGTCTCCTTCTAGCGATTTGGCATTTCGACGTCTTGTATTCAAAAGAACTGAGGGTTTGATACAGTCTGAAGCTTTGCTTGTAGAGGATGGTGAGATTCTTGAACAGTCTCAGAAAGAAAAAACTAAAAATGTTTCCCAATCGAAACGAAAGGGAAATACAAAGCAAATTCAAGGTAAAAATCTTACTTCTGTAGGTGTTTTGAAATAGACATTTCAGGTGAAAATTTCATGATCTTTTTTTGCATGTATCCATTTCAGAACCGAGCAGGCCTCTTATGAGGGTCTCTCATGATTATCTGGCTAGCTCGTACCACACTGGAATTATTTCTGGATTCACATTGGTATCTTCCTACTTGAAGAAGGCTGAGTCATGCGGAACGATGGTGAGCATTATTAAGTTGTGGCTTCGTTGTTTCTAGATTAAGTTGCCTTGTACTGATCCAGAAATGTTCTGATGCTTTTCAGGTTAAGACTGTTGTAATTGGTCTTGGAGCAGGATTACTTCCCATGTTCCTCCATGGATGCTTGCCATTTTTCAGTATTGAGGTAATTTCAGTTTAAAGGATTAATCACGTTGAGTAATTTCGATTGCAACTCATATTATGTATCCTGTTGAATAGGCGGTTGAGCTTGACCCAGTAATGCTTAATGTTGGCAAGGATTACTTTGGTTTCACACACAATGATCGCTTGAAGGTAAATTCTTTCTCTTTAAAACAAAAGTGCTAATGTTTATATTCTATTCTATTATATGCACAATCCCTCAGCTTTTTCGCATTCTTATAATAGGTTCACATTGCTGATGGGATCAAATTCATTAGAGATATAACAAACTCTGAAGCTTCGTCTGAGGAAACGTCAAACGGTGGCTCAAATGGAGATTCAACGGCTCACAATACCCTAGGTGGAACTTGTCCTGACATTTTAATTATAGATGTGGATTCAGCAGATTCAAGGTAAAAGACAAGGCCAAGTAATATTACATCTATATGAATTTTCCCACATGGTTAATTTCATGATTTTTTTTTCTCGTTTGATCTCTTGTCTGCAGCGGCGGATTAACCTGCCCTGCATCTGATTTTATCGAAGAGACATTTCTTCTTTCGGTTAAGCGAGCTCTCCCTCAGCACGGTCTTTTCGTAGTGAACTTGGTCTCGAGATCACAATCCGTCAAAGATATGGTAGTATCAAGAATGAAAAAGGTAACTCAAATGTCATTCAATCCTTGTAAAATCTCTGCATATTTTGACAATCTGATCTGATACTGTCATACTAAAACCGGGTTTAAGTTACGAATTGAGATTAAATCTTTTGTTTTGTCTTTGCAAGGTTTTCGATCACTTATTCGGCCTGCAACTAGAAGAGGAAGATGACGTAAACGTAGTGCTCTTTGGGCTTTGCTCTGAATCTGTAATCAGCGAGAGCGATATTCCAGAATCTGCAGTTATACTGGAGGGATTGCTCAAGTGTCAGAGATTGGAAACGAAGCAAAGCATCATAGACGCTACAAAGAAGTTGAAATGCTGGAAATAAAACACTTAATTCTTTATTATTGGTTTTAAAAGACGTGTGGGGGATATATTTCTGTTATAAGTTAGATTGAAAATTTTGAGACTATATTATACACCTAGTTTGGTCCTTACGCAAATGGAAAATGAAGCGTGGGGTTTTTCAGAACCTTTATGATTGTTAGACCTACCAACTTACTGAAGCATTCAATTTGGATGATAGTGAAGTTGGAATGTAAGTTAAACATCAATGTCTTTGATTAATTTTGTTCATTTTTGGAAACTATCCGTATTGTTTCTAATTTGAGTGATACGTAATTACGGATTGTTTCTAATTCTAACCATGCGGTTAGAATGGTGTGATTAACACAATTGCGGTTGATTATCATTTCTTTTAATCTACTAATTATGGTTGGAACATCGTAAATAGGGAAAGAAAATTCTTCAATATAGGCCCATTTTGGTGCGTGCGTAAGCGGTAAGACTGTATAAAAAGAGAGATCCTAAATTGAAATACCTAAACCAAAAATCTGGTCGCCGCGAAGACAAAGAAAAACATTTGTGACAAAGAAACAAATTCAGAAACCGTGTGGGTCCGACTTGGAACGCTGATTAATTGTTAATTGCAAACATTTCAAATATTTTGCATGTAAAGATAACTTCATTTTTGAGGTTTGCCAAAATATTTTTGAGATATATATTGACAGCAATTGTAGGTTAAAATGGGTTTAGCACCGTTTTAGTTTTAGTTAGGTTAAATGGTTAGTATTAAACTATTTATTTTTGTTTTTTGACAGCAATTGTAGGTTAATATTTACTTTGGAAAAAAAAAGACGATAAGATTCTGTTCATATAAACAAAAAGCTGTGAAGCTGTATAGTTGAAAGTTGAAACTTGAAAGTTGAAAGTGTGAATGTACTCTCGGATAGTCGGATATATCAATCAACCAAAGGGTACGCTGCATTAACCAACCTCTCGTATAAAATTTCAAAGAAAGGATAAAAAACAAGAAAAAGCAAAAAGTTGAAAAAGAAGAGACAGCTGCAGCAGAATTGGTCAAAATCATTTTGACAAAACCAAATAAAAAACAATCAAATGTCACTCTCAAAATAATTAGTTTATTTATTTTATGATGAAAATAATGAAAGCGACTTCTATCTGGGACTGGTAAAAGGACCTCTCTCTCCATTGGTTGTATATTAGCTGTCAAATTTTTACATTTCCATTACATTCCAAATATATATACTAACTAAAAATTATATACTTCCTAAATACTACTATGAAATTATTTTCTAATTGTCAAAAAATTACTGAATAACACATTTTATTTACAATAATCCGGTACGATAACATTTGAATTAAACAGAATAAAGTTTTAGGATTAGATAAATGATTCTAACAATTATATTTTTGTCCAACAAAAAAATTCTAAAGATTTTAATGAGAATTAAATGAAGAAGACGAAAGGAAAAACAAAATAAAGAAAAAGACATATGAAACGTAGCCCCCTCTTCTATTTGCTTTCTTCTTCTCTACATAAAACTCCTCTCTCTTTCTCTCTCTCTCACGACCCTTAAAGTTACGACGCTGTTTTCATCCAAACACAAACCTCTGGATTCGTGTCACCGTAGAAGCTCCGGCTCTATTAAAGTCTTTCTTCAAGAACTGAAGACAAAATATAAACACTAGAGAGACGAAGATCCTCGTTTATGGGTTTCATCGTGTTTTGTGACATAAAAACCCATTTAAAAGATTAGGACCAAGAAGTTTTCAGAGTTTGTGAAGTTCTTGTTGGTTAGTGTGATGTTTCTGGCAAATGCTGAGTCTCTTCTCTCTCTGTAAGTATTTTTTCCTTCATTTACTCTGTTTTGTTCCCCTTTTTTGGTCTTTTTGACTTAACATCTTAAGTATCTAAAGGCAAAAGAAATTGTTGGTATTTTTTGTTCTCATCCTTCTTGTGGGGTTTTCTATTGATGTTTGCTTAGCTTTGAATCTTCTCTAATGTCTATAGAAGTTCTAATGGAGCTCACTTTTAATGATTAACTAATGAGTTATGAACTAACTATATGAATAATGAGTTAATTCCGTAGTTTCATGCATTATACAATGTATTGTCTATGTATGGAAGCAAAGTATGATATATCATATTTAAACATCTATGATTGTGCTACTAAACTTTAAATAATACTTTTAAGCTGATGTGATCTTATAGGGATAAACTCTGACCATTATCTACTTTCTTTGACCATTGCTCTAATTTTCTAATCCAAAAGTCGTATCTTGCAATGCATTGGTTGGTCCATACCTAGATTTGCATCCCTTTGTTGTTCACATCTAACTGTAATGTTGAAACGAATGCATCAATTTGTTTTGTCTGTCTGAGAGTACCTCAAGGCGTATAGTTTTGTCCTTATGACGCTTGCAAAAGCGAGTTGTTGAGTTGTAATCTTATGTTTTTTTCTGCAACTTGCTTTGGATGAAGCCATGAGATTAGCTTTATAAAGGGTAGCTAGTAAACCGGTTTCTTATGTCGAAAAACCGATCTTTTTGTTTTTGTTTGATGACAAGGAATGGAATACTCTAGAGACTCGGCAGATATGATGATGGAGAATAAGCGCAATGTCTACTCTCTTCAAGAAAACAACATTAAACGACACAAGTCATCTGATCTCTCTTTCTCTTCCAAGGTCTTATGATACTTCAAAATCAGAATTTCTTGTGGCCATGAAGCTTTCTGCCATTTCCTGGTAATGATCTTGAAACTTTGTTGTTCTGTGGTTTAAACAGGAGAGGAAGGACAAGTTGGGAGAACGTATTTCAGCTCTTCAACAACTAGTTTCCCCTTACGGAAAGGTACTACTTGGTCGAAATGATCTGTTTTTTTACATGCTCTTCGTCTTCTCTAGTCATGTTCAAGTCTCTATCTCTGCAGACCGACACTGCATCAGTTCTTCTAGAGGGAATGCAATACATTCAGTTTCTTCAAGAACAAGTCAAGGTCTGCTCAAGTTTTTCGAATCAAATACCTTTCATTAATTCGCCTCTTCCCAATCCAACAATGATTTTGTTTGATTTTCTCTGTTCAGGTTCTAAGCGCTCCATATCTGCAAGCAACCCCCACTACTTCGCAGGTGAGCAGAATCTATGATTTGGACCTCTTTTACTTGGATCACAATGCAAGACTGATATTTCCGTCTCTGTAACTAGGAGGAAGTGGAAGAGTACAGCCTAAGAAGTAAAGGGCTATGTCTTGTTCCATTGGAGTATACATCAGGAGTTGCTCAAACCAATGGTGCTGATATTTGGGCTCCTGTGAAGACTCCAACATCTTCTCATGCGTTTAATCTCTCGTCTTCTAATGCGCCCTTTCGATGATTGCTGCTAAAATCTCTGTCTCAAGACTAATGAAGATTAGCCAAAACTTTGGTCTGATCATGTAATTGATGGAGAGACCTTGAAGTCGGTGATGGCTGTCTCTGTTATTTTTTACTGCTTAATCCCAACTCTCTGTGGTGGCTTTTCATTACTTGGACTTGTATAATTTGTTTACATTGGTAACAATTCATTCTAATGCAAAGTTTAACGAACCGGTCAATGACCGGAATTAGCTTCCGGTTTCATAAAAGTGAAATAGTTGACCGGTTTAGAGAAAGCCGGGAAACCTAACCCGACCCAACATTGTCAAACCCGTTTTGTTTGCGGCTTTTGAAGAGAAAGCTAGCTAAAACCCTAAAGCCCTGAAATCAAAATTAAGCTAAACAGAGAAGGAGACGATGGATCACATAGCTGCGGCCGAGGAGCAAATCGTATCGGAGAGGCTTCGAAGAAAGCTTCAAGAAGTTAATGCAGCTGCTCAGACTCAGCTTTCTCCTATTCAAGATCACATCAATTTCACCCTCCAGGTATCTCTAAAAATCTGTACTTTTCGCGAGCTCAGCATAATTTGATGTTGCATCCTTCATAAATTCTCTCTGATATAACAATTTAGCAATGTTTAGCTTCTGAATATGGAATCTTTATTGCTTTGATACAATGCCAGCTCCAATTTTGATGAATTGAGTATGTTCATGAAAAAAGTCTGAAAATTTGCTTTAGGTTCCTTCTATATTTGTCCTTAGAGACTATGGATTAGGTTCATGACACTTGCTCTGGTTTTATGACTATATTGTGCTTTGTAAGATATTCGATAAGAAGGCGTGTCTCGTCCTAGTTCCAAATTTGAGTTAGATTATCTTTACGGCTATGGACTAGACTCATGAATAAGTCTGAAAATTTGATTTGGGTTCCTTCTATATTCATGAAAATGTCTGACAATTGCTCTGCTTTGTCTTCAGAAGCATGAGTGTTATTAACACCTTCTCTTATTTCTTGGGGTGCTTATATTGAGTTATATGATCCAGTGATTCAAATTAATCAAACCCCGATAATGGTTTCATTGTTGCAGCAAGCTTATTTCAAATGTGCATATGAGTGCTTTGACAGAAGAAGAAAGCAAGAGGAGATAAGTAACTGTGTTGAGCACTGCAGTGTTCCCGTTGTCAAATCTCAACAGTATTTCGAGAACGAAATGGCTCAGTTTCAGGTATAAATCCCGCTAAAAGATGATACAAAATGTTTGGTGCGTATAGAGATGATAGCTGATTTTTGTTGAATGAATGTGTAGGAAAGATTGAACAGGTCACTGGTGGTGTGCCAAGACAAGTTTGAGGCCTCAAAGCTCCAGAAGATAAGGCCTGAAGCGATTAACGAGATGGAGAGTTGCGTGCACAAATCCATTGAGGAAAATCTCAATACATTACCACATATTGTGCAGAGAATGAAGCAAGCATTTAACATAACCAACTAAAAGCTCTCGTGCAAAACCTTGGATTCCAGAACTTGACTGGGCCATTGTTTGAAAAGACTCTTATATAAGACCTTTTGTGTTTGTCTTAATATGATCTATAAATTTGTTTTACTTTTCCTTATAGAAAGGTTTTCATTAGGTTTAAATTTGGCACTAGATTGGTATAAGTGTATTTTTGCTTGTGCTTCATCTTCCCTAGCAAAAACTTTAAAACCCTATAAACCAAAAGTTGTCAAGTAAGAGTGTCAGTAACAAATAAAATGTTCTGTTTATTACAGTAAAACATCTATAAATTAATACTTGATAAATTAATAATCTCTATGAATTAATAGATTCTTCCGGCTCTGAATTGGAACCAGTGTAAAAAATGACACAAATCGATAAAATAATAAGATAATAACATTTCTGAAAATCCTATGTAAACATATGGTCTCATTAATTTCAATGATTGTATAAACTTATTAATATATATATAATATTAATTTATATATATCATATATAAATTACTATGATATATATTTAAAATATCATAGGTAAAACATTTAATGAAATCAAAAAAGAAGATGAGAAAAGTACAGAAAAAGAAAAATAAAAGACTTTTTTCTCTCTCGCGAAGACCAACTCGCCCTAGCCGCCGTCAAGCTTCTCCTTTTGATTTGACCTCTCCGGCCACCGGCGCTTCTCGCCGGAGTCGTGAGAGGGCCGTCCGTGGTTTGTTCTTCCTTGCGTCTTTAGTTTCAGAGCCATTCCCAGCCCTCCTTTGGCGGATCTAGTTACAAAAGTTTCGGAACGGCTTAGGTTTGGGTCTTCTTCCGATCTCGGCAAGATCTTCCCTGAGAATCGTCTCCTTTTGGCTCGTGTTGGTGCGCCGCGAATTGTCCTTTCTCGTCGGTTTCTTTGTTGTGCGTATTTGCAGATCTGGTTTTTGGCCGTTGGCGTCCGATGTTGAAACACGATGCGTTAGCTTCTAATGCGGCCGAGATGTTCTTGCCTCCTCTACGGTATCATCTGACTTTTGTTTTCTTTCGTCCATGAGTTTGCTGCTTCTGGTCTCTGGTTTTGTGAGTTTGGGTGGTACAAATCTTTGGTTTGGGCAGTTTTAGAAAGTGTGTAGGTCAGTTTAGGCTGCCTCGCTCTCCTTTCTCTTGCTGTTAGCCCGAAGCTTTGGTCATAGCTTGCTGGCGCTCTTTTGGTTCCGTGATTTTGTTGAGCTTACTTTAGCCCTTTGATGAGCTTTATGTGATCTCTCCGGTTCGATCGTGTGCTTCTCTCATCTGAGTGTAGTATCTTCCGGTTTGAGGTTTGTTTCGCTCCTTGTCTATACACTCAAGACCTGATCGAGGTCTGGTCAGTTCATGACTTCTAACGAGGCGTCTCCTAGTCGTTGTATACGACATCGCCGCTTCTGGAAGATTTGTGGGATTTGGTTTATGTGTCTCATGTTTGTCTTGCCGGAATAGAAGTTTAGGTTCATCTGCTTTGAGAGGTACCTTGGCTTCACAATAGGAGGTTTCGTTAACTGCAAGATGGACGCATGTTGTCCTTTGTGGCTAGCTTTGCTCACATCGGTGTTGGAGTAAGTTTGGCATGTCCTTTTATTTCCTTCTGAGCTTTAGTTTACGAGTTTGTCCAATGTTTCGTCCGGTGGTTTGTTCACTCGGTTTTAGTTAGTGTCCCTGTGTTTTAGGGCATCACTTCCCTTTGTTGGGCTTTCGCTTCCCTCTTTTGGGCTTTCGCTTCCCTCTTTTGGGCTTTTAGACTCCGGGGATATTTATGTCTTCCGCCGGCTTAGTTTCTGAAAGAGTTTCGACTCTTGTCGGTCTTGTATTTCAAAACCGCATTCTACCTTCGTATAATATAATGGAATCATTCAGACGAAAAAAAAAATATATATAAAACATTTAATGAAATATGACTTTGTTATTGTTTTTTTCTTAACTTTTTTATTAATTCTTCGTAGAGTTCATTTCTAATATTTTACTTGATCCAAGGAAGTTTATGTTGTTTTCTAAACTTAATAATTTCTTTTCTACTTTTTTTTCTATTTGTATTTGGTTAAAAAAAATATTGATTATAAAGAAAAAAAACTGTTTTTCACATAGAAATTTTTTTAAAAATTATAAAATTAGTAAAATTTCTTTATAAATTAATAATTATTATTTTATCAATAAATTAATATTTTTATAAATTAGTAGAATTTTCCGGTCCCAACATTATTTGGTAAAAGAATTACATAGAAGTTTGTATTCCATTGCTTGGTTTTAGATATTTTGAGAATAAAAAAACATGAAGTTAAAGTTTAACAGAAGTACCGAACAATATAAAAAAAAAAATAACCAATAGAATACAGATATATACGAATTTGACAAAGAAAAAGGAGCATAGAGATTATCTAAAACCAATACAAAAATATATAGAGATTATCACTAACAAAAAAAAAGATTTAATAGAGAAATAGAGAAAGGTCTTGACAATCAGAATCCTATATAAGTAGTTAAGACTCTAAAACTCCTCTCTGCCGCTTAACTTTTTCTTATTGTCTCTCTATTTTTGATAACAATGGAGAGAGGTGATGATCAACTCAAGGGTTTGCAGAGAGAGAAGAGATCATTAGATATTTTGTCTGTTGGCACGGAGAGAATGGTTAGAGCTTTTAGCTATGAGGCTAACGGAGAAACATCCACTGAAGGTCATGCTAGTGTGAAGAATAAAAAGAGAGAGAGAAGAGATATTAACAACGGTCTAAGGAGCTCAACGATGATCACTAGATCGAGCAAACGACTGAAGATTGATGAGTGCGAGAATCAAGACCCGAAACAAAACCCTAATCCTCATGCTTCTTCTCCAAGTTTGTGCCATGTAGCGTCCAAGAGGCCTCAAAAAGTGGTACCAAACAAACCGGTTAGAAGAAGAAAGCCGGTTAGAGTTATAGTGACGGATGAAGATAGGAAGCCGCCGGAATGGCTGGTTAACATGATGAGAGAAAAGAACAGTGTGGATGCAAAGCTGATATTTGTCAAGGTTCTTACCAATAGTGATGTTGACGATGACAAGACACGTCTCTTGATGCCCTGGAAACAGATACTGGATATGGGCTTCTTAAACAAGGAAGAGTTAGGAATGATAGATAAACATTACAAAAAAAGGTTACTCAGAAAAAAGAAACACTACAAAAAGATTAATGACAGTGACAAAGGAGCGGATGTGACCTTGGTGAATTCTAAGGGTCAACAATGGAAGCTAAACCTCAGGAGATGGGATATGTGGTCCACTTTCAACTACGTCTTGGCTTCAGGATGGAACAAGGTCGTCCCCGGTAACACTCTAGAGGAAGGCCAGAGGCTTCGGGTCTGGTCCTTCCACTCCCAAGACAAGCTCTATATTGCTCTAGTTCCTCTGGTTCCAGCTCCAGCTACAGATCCAACACCAGCTCCGGCTATCCCTCTGATTCCAGATCCAGCTCCATCTTCACCTCCGGCTCCGGTTGTTACTAGAGATTCTGACGAGCTATATATATCTCAAGCTGAGGCTCAAGAAGAGAGTGACGACATAATACTTCCAGTTCCAGTTCCTGCAGATAAAGATTTGGAGGTCCTAAATTTATTTGCTGAAGTGCCCGAGGAGACAATTCGTCTCGAGGCTCTACAAGAGGCAAATAGGAGGAGGTCACTGGTCTCCGACACAAAGCTGGACCTCGAGCTCCGGTTGTAACTAAGAGATTCCAGCCAAAAACAGCTCTGCTATGTGACTATTTTCTCTTGCTTTTTTGGTATTTTAAGTTATGGATTCAAGCTCTACTGCCGTGGTTTGCCATGCAAGTACTCTTTTTTTTTTCAGACACTCGAAGATGGTTTTTTTAGTGTTAACATTCTGAGTGATGTTTTAGATTAATTGTGCTGATTTTCATTCCTTATATAGGTCCTTTTTGTTTGAACGGATGATGTTTGTTTTGGCAAGTTTTATTTCGCACTTGCCTTTATTTCATAAGCTAAATAATCCTCGTAAGATAGCGGAACTAACCAATTACATTACGAAAGAATGTAGTAAAAACTAAAAAAGACAGTGACATGAATATATCTCACATAATTCAGAAACGAACTATATATATAGATCTTTGACTCAATTGGTCCTCTAGGTAGACAGTGACGTACTTAAGAGCCATGAGAAGAAGCCAAGCCATGTTCTTCTGCTGAGCCTCTCTGAAGAATACACAACTAGCTTTTTATATAGCTCAAGATGTTTCATCGCGAGGTTGTACAAAAGAGGTAAATAGGAGATTAGGAGGAGGCTCACTGGTCGCCGTCACAGAGCTGGACCTCCAGTTCTGGTTGTAGCTAGAGGTTTCAACCCAAAAAGCTCTGCTATGTGACTAGCTAATCTCTGTTTATTGTCGACTCTAGGTCTCTAGCTCTATTTTGCCGTGCCATGAAAGTTCTATATTTAAGGCATTTTCTAGGGTGTTTTTTTTTCCCTTTATTAAGAGTGTTGTTTAGATACTGCTGATTTTTCATGCATTCTGTAATTCCTTGATTCTCTGAACGGTTGACGTTAAAAAACGTACTAGAAAGTTACTATATCAACATTCATTCAACGCAACACATCACATCACATGTTTTTGTTTTGCTCGGTTGGAGTATACCTGGTTAAGAAACACAACGCCAGTCTTTTACCAAAAAGAAAAAAAAAAACACAATGCCAGCATCTGGAGGGCCTAATAGACGAAGCCCGGACAAAACTCCATCAAGAACATGGTCTGCCTTACGATAGTGCATTTCTAATATGGAAGGTAATTGGAGAAGTAATTCACACAATCCAGGAACCACCTCACCAAAAAAGTTTGTTGACTCTTCTCTAGAAATTTGCTGCATCACAACAATACAATTGTCTTTGAGTAATCTATGCTCCCAAATGTAAAATGCTCACCTTAAGAGAAAATGAATAAAAAAAACACAAACAACTAAGAAAGTAGACGGAGGAACAGAAGAATTGTTACCTTGTCAAAGAAAACAGCATACCTTGTAACGTATAAGGTGCTAGATAGATGCATTCAAGGTGAGGGATTTATGCATATTCGTGATATGCAAGGCAAGAGCCTCCCCTGAGTTAACCATTGACTCAGTTGGTCCTCTGGACATTGTTTGGAGCTCTTCTTCAACAGAAGGTGGCCAAACTAAAGATGAAGACTTAGCCACAAGGGGCAAATACTGAAGAAGTGATCTAAGATCTGCCCTCTTGTCCATTGCTTATTGCCTTCCCCAAATTCTTAGAAAAGATTTAAAAAGCAGGAGATAAAAGAAAAAAGTCTGCAAATGAATCGACATTTAGTTCGTTGACTATATTAGCTTGAAGAAAAAGAAAGCCATTTTAGTTCTTTACCCTGCCAGCTAGTAAAACTACGTGTAGTCTGTTCTCCGTGATTAGAAACGGCACGTAGTTTCTTTGAACTTGAACCGAACAAGTATACCGGTTTATTTCGGTTAATAATGGCTTCCTTGTGATTTTGATTGACAAGGGAACGAACTCTGTAGAGGAGAAAAAATCTAGACTTTGCAAATTGCGAGAAATACTCTGAAACATTGAGTACAAGACCGAGTTAAATCGCCAGATTCAATGTAAAGCTTTACTTTTGTCGCTTACTTTGTGGTATTTAGGTTATTCTGTTGAAAACCCTAGATTCAGATTTGTGTCTTTTTTCCACATCTAGCATCTTCGTTGATTCGTGGTTTCATAATTTGGATGTAGCTTTTTCGTGCAACCATGGCTGGGGTTATGCAGAAGTTCCTTATTGCATCAATGTTCATGTGGATTCTTCCTATTGCAATATTATATGGATTCAACAATGATTTGCTTCCTGGTAAGATCCCAATGTTTGCTTTACTTGTGCATCCCCATTGTGATGAACTTTCTGTTTGATTTATACAAGCCTTGATGCATCTTTAGATTATGGATCAATTTGTTCTCTAGGTAAGTTCACATGAAAGCTTAATTGTCCAGGTTTGACTTGATGTTATGAGGAAATCTGTGTTGTTTTCTAATTGTATCCATGATTTTTCCTTTTGAGTTTTGTTTAATCGTGTTTGGAGTTCTTGAATTTAAATTCTGTAAGAAGGTTTTTGGTTAGAAACTGTAGTTAGAAGGTCTTGCTTGTTATGTCAATTAACTTGGTCTGGGTTTTGAGAGTGGTGACTGGTGAGTAAAGAAAGAACTCATGTACAGTTACCTGTTAACTGTTCCGTATCTGTTAGACTAACAAAGATTTATCCTTTTGTGTTCAAATTTTTATCGTGGGTAGTATCATTTGGTGTTTGGATTATAACTATGAGTTTTCTCTGGATCTTTCTTTGACTCAATCACTGAGGTTTTAGTTGTACAAGGGTATAGGTTTAAGGAGTATGATGATTTTGTAAGAACCAGAGGGCATTATGTTGCTAGTTAGAGGTTCCCCTAGTTTTGTCTTCACATTTGCTATCAAGTCTGTCCTAAAACTATGATCTGCAGATCTAAGTAATTCCTGATAATAAGTTTAGTCTTATAGATTATGAGTGATGGGATTGTGGCTTGTCATAGGAGGTTTTACACTTAAAGCATTTCAAATTGATTTTAACCCTGAGAACCACCATTTGAATAAGTTAGGAAAGATAGTATAAGTTTCTGTTAGGGGGAGCAAATATCAGAAACTCTTCATTGTTTTACTTATAGAATCATCTTAGCTTCTGCAAACACTCTTTTTTTTAGTGGAACTTGATTTTGGAGAATAGCTGGTTCTTGGTATCTGATGGCAGATTAGAGAATCTTTTAGAGGCTATGTTTTGTTTGTAACATAGGCAATTTAATCTTTGACGCTAAATTCATGTAATGATGTTTGAACATCTGTACATGTGATGGCCTGTTAGTCGGTTACTGTACTTGAGCATAATGTCTCTCTCTCTCACAAAGATTGTAGTATTTTCCCAGATAGGAAATGACCGTTTAAACTGCAACCATAGGTGTTTCCAGAGATATTACCACCTCTTACACTACTGTTTAAATCTTTGACAGGTTCAACAACATTGTCTCCACATTCTCTGACACTACTTAGTGGATTTCTTGCGGTGGTATCAGTCAATGTAGTGATTGTTTTCTACATCTGTCTGGCCTTGAAAGAACCTGTGGATAAACACAAGCCAGACGCTTCGTTTGTCGCAGAGGCCAAAGATAGTGTGAAGAAATTGACATCAGGAGTCACAAGTACAGACCCTGCGCTCAAGAAACAAGAGTGAGCAAAACACATCCCATTATTTTAAAACAAGGAACAGCGTTGAGATTGCATCAGATGAAGCAGAGCTCAGGTTCTTCAGTGTATTATCTTGTAACTGCAGAAGTTTCTTGGCTGCTATATCATTCTGTATTGTGACATCTGAGGGTTTTGGGTTAGTTGAGCAGAAAAATACGCCATGTTGATGTTAAACAGAGCCAAGAGCTAATGTTTTAGGACAAAAGTTCACAAAACCATAACAGTTGTGTCCATAATTAATTATCTAAAATTTTAAGTAAGTTGATCTGTTTTGTCCACATTTCTCTGCCACATACTCGTGACATTTCTTTGTTTCTTCGAGTCTAAGTTAGCTCAAGAAAACAAATATTGAAGTACACATTCGGTGATGAATATAAAAGTAACTCAATCCTGGTTCACATCAGTTTGTTGTTGCTTGGTGCTGTCGGATCATCTTCACTATCATAGTTCTGGCGACTGCACATCTTATCCTTTTCTCGGCCCCTACATCGGCCCAGCGGTGCAATGTTGAGTATATTCTCATTGCTCTTTGCTGCCTCTTTTAGGGCAGATGCTTAGATGTATGTCAATTCTGGACATGCTTTGTCTTGAAGAGGAGACATATACAAAAGCCTCATCAAATATCCTAGCGTATCTCCATCTCTTGTGCTCTTCATCAGCTTTGGTCATCAGCTTGATCATTGAGATCAAAGCATTTATCTGCCTCCTCATACTCATTTGAGTTGATAGCTGTCAACAACACAGCTGAATTACATTCTAGAACGTCACAAGATAAATGCTCTTCATCAGCTGTCAACAACACAGCTGATTTACATTCTAGAACGTCACAAAGACGTACAAATATGCTTAAGATATGTATCACGGTGTTTTCTTCATACAGGAATTTTCTAAGGTCAAAACTCTCTACAAAGGACGCATTTATTGTAACAAAAGCTTTTGTTTGAATGTATACCAAAAAAAGAATTTACTAAGGTCTACCGCCTTTTCATTATCTCCACCAGCATATAGTATTTTGAAGAGTGTTGATCTTAATGGAAATGACATTCTGTAAAACTTCTCATATCTTAAACTATGCGGCTCCAAGCCTTTAGGAAGTTGTCTCCAGATTTTGTAAAGAGCCTCAAGAGAGGGCTGGGCAGATACGTACGTAAGCATATGTTGGGCTTCAATAGCAACATCAGAAAGAAAAACAGATACGTTTTTTCCACACTTCTCTGACACGACATACTCGTGATGACATTTGTTTCTAATTCGAGTTTAAGCTACCTCAAGAAAACAAATATTGAATTACACATTCGGTGATGAATAGAATAGTAACTCAGTTCTGGTCCAAAGAGAAGTATGGACAAAAGGATCAACTTTCGTTTGAATTTGAAACATGTGAATAGCATCTTGCTTAATATTCTACTGGAAAATATATCATCCTTTTCATATAAAAGTTTTTTAGTTTTTCAGCTTTTTCTCAAAATTGGCAATGTGTGAGCTGAAGAGTAGATTACAAACAATAATGCATGGTACATGGAATCAAGTAGTGGATTTGACCAAACACTAATAAAGGCTCTTCTCTTTAAGATCGGGAAATAATTAATTTTCAGTTGTGAATCTTTGTTTTCAAAGTTTTATAGACTTCCACGAAATTTCCTAGTTATCCAAACCTATAAAGATGTCAAGCGCCATGGAAAACATTAAAGATTAATTTTTATAAAAAAATATTATATATATGAGAAAATATTATTTTACTGTCAAAAATTTCTAATGGCGTTTTCACTTTTCAGTCCGGACTTTTTGGTTCAATTCGGATTCGATCGGATGTTTTTATAACCTTTATGTAACAAAGAATAAATCATAAAAATTTGGAATCTGACACCATAATAAAATCTAAATTTTTTTTCTCCTTAACAAAAAAAAAGAAAAAACTATTCAAATTTTATATTTTGATGTGAAATGATTACATTGATAATTTTTTCCTATCAAACTACACTAACATTAATGTATCTTATTAAAAAATATATTTGTTTTCAAATAAAATCTAATTCTAGTGTACATCCCTAAATTAGTCGAGATACTAGAAACACAAAAAGAAAGAAAGAAAGAAAGACGTGTGATGCATGTCATCTTGGGAAAAGTAGTCATTTATCATTTTCTGAGTCTCAGTTTGTTGCAACAAGACCTTTACAAAGAGTTCACTATGACCTCTGGGCCATCTTCTATTTTGTATGGTCAAGGGTTTACGTACTATGTAATCAAGGACGTGCCTAGGTATTTAGAGGGCGGAGGCGGTATATCATTAGGAAAAAACAATTATGATAAATGTCAAAATAACATTTTTTATAAATATGGTATTATTATATAAAAGCTTTAGAGTATATTACTTCATCCAAATTTTATTAGTTTATACAAACTACAAAGTTTTGTTTTATTTTATGAAACTCTAGTCAAGGAGTACTAATAATAGTTTGGTAACATCATAAACAAATTTTTAAAAAATTTAAGTTCATGAGAAGCAATAAATATAACTAAAATGATCACATATATCCCAAACACCATAATGCTGAAAAGAATTATAATGGAAAATATATTTATCAATTGACTATATGTAATCATCATTGTAAATATATAAAAAGGAAAAATCATATGTCATCAACTATATAGAAGAAATTTAAATCCACAAATATAAATACAAATATTTTAATCTAATGTTTGTTTTAAATTTCCAACTGAAAGATTTCAATAACTCTTGATAAAATAAAATAAACATAAGGATTCTTAGTTGACACACAATTACTATACATAAATATTAGGGATTATGGGATTGGACTTTTGAATGATTTTATATATTGGGTCGTAGGCGAAGGTTTCTATTTCATCAACATAGACACGACCCTGTATGTAATATTCATCGACCATTGGTCTCGTTATTGCTCGTTCTACCCTTTCAAATATAAATCAGATTTCTACCTTAAAAAAGAAAGAAAAAAAAAAGAAATAAGAAGGTGGGTGTTTTACACCACGTAAGACGGGGTCAAATAACGAACAACACAACTGCTAATTCTTCCGTACTACTATTTCAGTCCACTTTTTGCTCTCATGTGTCAAATAAAGTCAAAATCTTTCGTCTCCGTGTATTCATTCTCCTTCGAATATATGTATTTTTATTTTCTTCTCTGCAAAAAAAAAAGAAGACGAGGGATTTTTTAAGACAAAAAATGACAAATTTTCAATTCAGATTTTTTTTTAATCAAATACAATCCTTTTTAATATAATTTTGATTTATATTAGATCACCTTGGTTATCTGAATTGAATATCAGAATATTTATACTAGTAAAGACGAAACTACAAAAACTCTGGGTCTATAGATGGACTCATTAAGAGTGTACGTAGTAACTGTTAATTAAATAAAACGATCCCATAAAACTGTAAGAGTTTAATTACCATGTTACGTGTACCATTGCTTATATATATTTTCCAAGAAAAATTATATATTACGTACACCATTTGAATTGTATATGCATTTGTGAAGGACTAATTAAAACAATTTTTTTTGGTGTGCTGAGGACCAAACATATGTGGTCTGGTCTGGTCTGTTAAATTAAGAAAGAAGCGTATATGGTCTCTGATCTGTTATCCATATATAGGATTATAATCTGTGATATTAAAAGCTAAAATTATCGATGTTTAGGTCTAGTATATAGTATATGTTATTAGATAAGTATTTATTGGCAATAGTAAAGCAAAACTGACTTAAAAATCTAACAAATCCTTACTTAATTAGCGTGTCAAGCAAGATGCAAAATTTTTCTAAGATTATATACTTTCTTTTTGACTTTAGTTGTTGTTTAGATAAACTACTTATTTTCTCTCCGGCAGTTTGACTTCAATTTAAAATGCTTTTGTTACCTATATATGGCAAAGAAGATGAAAAACACACTGGTTAAGTAAAAGTGGCAACAAAAATTAGAAACGAAAATCCTTTATATATTAACTGAGAAGCAATAAGTAAAAATACAACCTGTCGTTTGTAGGTAGAGATGTTAATATGGGCTAATCCACCCCATTTAGACCCACTCCATTTAAAACCCACCCCATTTAGCCCCACCCCATTTAACCCCATTTAAGTTTATACCCCATTTAACCTCCCCATTTAAACCCATTTAAATTTCCTTTACCCATTTAAACCCATTTAGACCGATATAACATTGTTTTGTTCTAAACAATATAATATAATAAATAATTATTTTAATTGATTATTTAAAATTTACAGATTATTTCATTAAATATAATTGATAAAACGCGAATTTACGGTTTTGGCGGGAAAACGCGGATTTACGGTTTTGGCGGGAAAACGTCATTTTCTGCCAAAATCGCAAAATTGCGTTTTATCACCAAAAATTATTTTTCCATAAAATAGCGTTTTCCCGCCAAAACCATAAATCCGCGTTTTCCCGCCAAAACCGTAAACCCGCGTTTTCCCGCCAAAACCGTAAATCCGCGTTTTCTCGCCAAAACCGTAAATCCGCATTTTCCCGCCAAAACCGTAAACCTGCGTTTTCCCGCCAAAACCGTAAATCCGCGTTTTCCCGCCAAAATCGCATAACCATGTTATAGAAGACGTGGTTTTACATTTTGTTTTAAATATTTAAATCAAAAATTGAATTTAAGTAGAATATTAGTTTTAAATATATTTAATATTTTGCTTTTTTATTTTAGTTATTAAGATATTAACATTTTAATAAAAATAACTAATATAAAATGAAGCATAAATGGGTTTAAATGGGTACCCATTTATTTGTGTGAAACCCCATTTAATAAATGGGTTTAATTGGGGTAACCCATTTAACCCCATTTAACATTTTTCCCTAAATGAGTTTAAATGGGTTGATTTTTTTTGTACATACCCATTTAATAAATGGGGGTTCCATGCCCAAGTTAACATCACTATTTGTAGGAGTTAATTTATATCTCATGCCAATCTTTTATTAATTTAAGATATTTTATATATAGATATTAGATCTTGTTCTTGATTAATGCGATCATGGAGCCAGTGAGTAGATGAGCATGTATATCACACGGGAAACGATGAAGTTATTCGGAACACACCACTCTAGTAGTCTAGTTTATCCAAACATTCTCCAAAAACTCAAGTATAAAAAGTGAAATGCTAAAGCATGCACATAGCGTTTTAACAAAAAAAAAAGCATGCACATAGTGTAATATGCATGTACTCTTCGATTTCGAATGCTAATTTACATGTAATGTGTGTTCTCTTTATAGTGACTTTCAGGTAAGTATATAAATTAGCTTTTTATCAAAAAAAATTTTTTTCTTTCCTTATCCGTGAAAGATCAAACTTTTAGTGTATAATCTCTCTGAATATCTAGAATTAAAATTTAGATATTATGATTTTAAAAAATAATCATTTGTACTTAGAAGGATTGAACTCAAGACACAAAACAACCAACCTCTTTGTATTTACAATGTTTAAGTGAAAAAATTGCTTATGTTTTTCTTTTTTTTAAGAAACTACACATTTGTTGTCAACAAAAGGAACAAAATATTAATCATCAGCAGCATTCAAAATGACATCCTATACTATTATTTGGGGAGTACAATTTATGGATTACCCTTAATTAACCTTCCCCTTTGTAAGAATTTACTTAAGAATGCCATTAGAAATAAAATTTTGTAGAGTAAATTAATTCAACTCATTAAGGATAAACAAGTCAAATACTATTTATGCAATTTAATTAATTTAATTTAATTATAAAAACGAAAATCTATTATTAATTTCTTTAAAAAGAATGACCAATCAAAATGAACATATAAGATTTGATATCTAACTTACCATATTAATTTGTTATTAATCATTATACTTCACCTCTCTTCTTTATATGATTCTATTTCTCTAAATAAATAAATCATTATATCATCTATATAATAAAAAAAAAAGTAAACTTTTTTCCGCATATACCAAGATTTGAAGTATTAAAAACGAATATAAATTATTCAATGTATGAAAGAACAAATTTAACGGGTCAAAAATTCATATTTGAGTAATATATTCCTTTTTTTTTTAATATCATCAATACTTAATAGAGCAAAAATTTATGAAGTATAAATACTCTAATTTGATTTTTTGAAACAAATATTTATAATAGGCGGCGGGTTGAATATAATATATTATATGATGAAATGAATTATGATCCTTATAACTATTTGAATATTTATATTTAATTTCATATCATTTTTTTTAAATTCATAATTTTACATAATACAATAAAAAATTTAAAGATTTTAATTTGGAACATTTTAAAATAGTTTAATTTAATATATTAAAGAATATCATAAATATTTAATAGATTAAAAAGATAAAAAAAATTATAAATACATTAATTTGATTTTCTAAAAAGATATGTTTAAATATTTATAGTAGGCGGCGGGTTAAATGTAATGTATTATATGGTAGAAAGTTATGATCCTTATAACAGACAGTATTTTAAGATTTTATGATGAGATGAGTTAAATAAGGTTTGACACTTCTAAATATTTGAAAATTTGATTCTGCAAGCAATTTTGAAAATAATAAATAATAGATTGTGCCGCAATATTTTCATACGGATTGTAAAATGAAAATATAGACTCCACACACGGATTAAATTTGGTATTATTATATACCAAATATATGTTCATAACATATTTGATTATGTGAATAATTGGTAAATTCCGTAATTAGCTCAAACAAATCTCTATTTCAACAACCAATGAATCAGAATTTGAAAAAATAATTTCCTAAATTAATTCAAAATAATAGCTAATTTTTTTAAGTAATTCAAAATAATCTACGTTTTAAATGCGATTCATTTATGATATTTTGATTTTTGATCTAACTAAATTATATGCACTCTCATTTTATGGTTGTTAACATAAATTAACTCATTGTTCAAAGTTCAAACAATATTAATTTTTTTAAAAAATAATCTTATTTTCCGTTTTCATATATAAAAAAAAAATATCCATAATTGAATACTATAGAAAAAGGAAAATATATTCATTCTAATATTATATATAGGGACTGACAAAAAAAAATATTATTTTTTCACTTACTATTATAATATATCACAACTTTATTCTAAAACATAAAATTTATAAATTTTGTAATAAATGAAATTCAACCCGTACTACAGTACGGGTGATGATCTAGTTGAATATGTATAGAGGAAGCTTATATATGCGTTAATATTACGTCATTAATTATGGTCAAAAATCGGCACTTGAGTTAAACTGAATTGTAAATAATAATATTCTAAAGAATACGAGGATGTTAAGTTGGTATAGACGATAATTTAATAACTATATTTTGCAGTCCACACATAATATGGTAACGCGTAGAAAAGACTGAAGTGTGGAGAATCAGATATTGAAAAAAGATTAATAATTAATTATATGTTATAAGTATTTAATAATATAAAACCGACCACATAACTTATTCTTATCACTCACAAAACGATGGCAATACGAGTATTTAAATTTTAATCTCTCAGTCAATACACGCCAAAACATGAGGAAGTCTTTCTTCATGTTCACTATAAATACATCACAAATTTCATTTCTCTTAAAACTTCCACAAACCTATCTCTCTTTCTCTATTGCTTACATCATCTTCTATAATCAATGGCCTTGATCCAAAACCCTAATATGAAACAAGTTCCATTTCTAAGAGACAGAACTCTACAACAAACACTCTTTCTTCCTCATACTTTTTCTCTCCCTATTTCTAACAAAAACTCCAAAAGACTACTTGTAATTGCTAATTCTTCTTCTTCTTCTCTATTATCACCAGTGATTCTAACTGCTCCGGTTGCTTCTTCTCCTCCTCCTCCGGTTTATCATGGACCAAAGTTCCCTTTGTCCTGTGGGGCAGCGACTGTACCGTTATCTCGGGTATGGAGAGAGATACAAGGATGTAACAACTGGAAAGATCTCATCGAGCCTTTAAACCCTCTTCTCCAACAAGAGATCACTCGCTATGGCAACTTAGTTTCCACTTGTTACAAAGCCTTCGATCTAAACCCTAATTCCAAACGTTACTTGAACTGCAAGTATGGCAAACAAACCCTACTTAAAGAAACCGAAATCCACCAACATGAGGACTACCAAGTCACAAAATACATCTACGCCACACCGGACATCAACATCAGTCCAATCCAGAATGAAACGAATCGACGAGCGCGTTGGGTAGGTTACGTTGCAGTTTCATCCGATGACTCGGTGAAACGCTTAGGGAGGAGAGACATTGTGGTGACGTTTCGTGGAACGGTAACTAACCCTGAATGGTTGGCAAATTTCATGAGCTCTTTAACTCCGGCTAGGTTCCATCCTCATAATCCGCGTCTCGACGTGAAGGTTGAATCCGGGTTCTTGAATTTATACACATCCGATGAGAGTGAGAGCAAATTCGGACTAGAGAGTTGCAGAGAACAGCTTCTGTCCGAAATCTCGAGATTGGTGAATAAGTACAAAGGAGAAGAGATGAGTATCACACTCGCTGGACATAGCATGGGAAGCTCATTGGCTCAACTTCTTGCTTATGACATTTCGGAACTAGGTTTAAACCAGAGGATTGGTGAGAGAGATATTCCGGTGACCGTGTTCTCTTTCGCAGGTCCTAGGGTTGGTAACTTGGAGTTCAAAAAACGTTGCGAGGAGCTAGGTGTTAAGGTTTTAAGGATCACTAACGTCAATGATCCGGTCACTAAACTTCCTGGTGTTTTATTCAATGAGAATTTTAGGGTTTTAGGTGGTTTTTATGAGCTTCCATGGAGCTGTTCATGTTATGCTCATGTTGGAGTGGAACTCACGCTAGATTTTTTCGATGTTCAAAACATTTCTTGCGTTCACGATCTCCAAACCTATATCGATCTTCTAAACCAACGCAGAATGAACTCAAGATCAGCCGATTCCGATTCCGATGAGGATGAGGAGAGTGACAATTTTGCCTTAGAGTTTTTGAAGAGAAATGGTGAGAAGGTTATGTTCTTGAAGGGACAACGAATGATGCATTGGACAAATGTCGTGGATCTACTTTTTTCTGTATCTAACCATATGTCCTATTGTAATATTTTTTAGGACCAAAATTTAGGTTTTTTTTAATAATTAATTTAACATGGAACAAAATAATGAAAAGAGTATCTATAACGTACAACGTATATATTACAAGAAAGTGAAAGTTGTTTATTTTTTATGTTTGAATCTATATCTCTTTGTATATAATTTAATTGCATTGTTCATCTTAACAAAAGTAATGTTAGATGTATAAATCAGTCATCTTTCCAAAGTCGCAAACGCGTAAATGCATATGTGTTTCATACTTTCATATCTGCGTTTACATTTTTCCAATAGTTAAAATATTAATATATTTAGATATAAAGAGATGTAAGCTATTAAACTTAGTGTAGTAAACAAGGCAAAATTTTGCTCTAAATTGTTTTTGGTTGAATGTGTGATACAATGCGTTGAATTTATGTCATTTATTTCACTTTATCGTACTTTATAGCTAATTGTATGTTTCATGCAAATTAGAATTGACTAATAACTAAACATTCTCCCTAGTTGGATTTTTAGTTTCTGTCATTAACTAACTTCACTTTTTCGTCCTTTTAGTATAATTCTTTGTTTCATGCAAATTGGAATTATATTGACTATCTAAACATTCTCTGTAGTTGGAATTTTATCACCGAATTTATATTATAATTAAGATGACTAAGCTATAGTCTCCTGATCTCCTCTTTGTTATTCCCTAATTCCTCTCATGGTAATTAGGTCAAACTTTGACTAACGTTAGACCGTTAGTGAATATTGCATGCCCCTTCAATTTCATATGTGAGAAGACTATTTTTGTTTTTCTATTTTGTGCTTATATATATGATTCAAAGTACTTCGATCCTCGTTTGTCAAAGTGGAAACATAAAATGAAGCTTTTTTGTGTGTGAATCATCATATCATAAGAAATGTTTGATGTAATTCAAATGATATATCGTCTATCGATCACATATAATTTGATTATGTTGAATGGCTTTACAATGATAGGATATATGATTATATGTAAGAATGTGATAAAGCTGTTTTAAGAGTATTTGAAGACCATGTGCAAATTTTTATATTAAATCTAAACATGTATTTGATATTATATATTTTTTTAAATAAAAATAATAGGATTCCTCCTACCTTTATAGTTTATACACATTGAAAATACTCATTTTTGTTATTGATTATGGGCTTTTTTGGGCTAAATAGACAACATTTTGGCCCATTCTCTGTTATAAGACGACAAGAACTTATAATTGCACCGAATTACATGGCACATAATTCAAAAAAATAATTAAAAAACTTCCAAATTAAAACCACTTCATGCGCATTATGTCTTCTTCTATCTATCATTTCCTTGGCCAGCTCCATCTCTCTCTCTCTAAAACGAGTCTGCAACTTTATCTCTCTAGAAATCAATCAGAAACAAAAAACGATGTCGTCCGATGACGAAGGAGGAGAAGAGTATCTCTTCAAGATAGTGATCATCGGCGACTCTGCCGTCGGGAAATCGAACCTTCTCTCTCGCTACGCTCGTAACGAGTTCAACGCTCATTCGAAAGCCACGATCGGCGTCGAGTTCCAAACGCAGAACATGGAGATCGAAGGCAAAGAGGTTAAAGCTCAGATTTGGGATACTGCTGGTCAAGAACGGTTCCGTGCCGTCACTTCCGCTTATTATCGCGGCGCCGTCGGAGCTCTCGTCGTTTACGATATTAGCCGTCGATCCACGTTTGAGAGCGTTGGTCGTTGGCTTGATGAGCTTAAGAGTAAGTCCCTAGCTCTTTGATTTAACTGGTTGATTTCAAATGCGATTTTGGTTGAGCTAAGATAGTCTTGCTCAATTTGAATAGTGGATTTAGTCAATTAGGTCCTGAAAATTGTCAATTAGGAAGCTGAATTTGGTGGAATTGTTGTCTTTCTTCTCCAGATTTGGTAGATTGTGCTAATTGATCAAGATTCTTACCATTGTATGAAGTCTAGGCCTGGACGTTCGGGTATTCGGAACGGTCCGGTTCTAGAGTTTAGGATCTACTGTATATAGGAACATAAACAATTTCGGTTTGGGTTCGGTTCTGGTTTTATTTAGATCTCAAGATTTAATGGTGACTTATTCTTTACTTAGGCCAAATGTGAAGTCTTCCTCTTCATATGAATCTGTTCAAGTTTGATTTGAATGCTGGTTTGGTAAACCTCTGTTGATTCATTTGTGGATGGTTTTATTTTGGCAGCACATTCGGATACAACGGTTGCCAGGATGCTGGTGGGAAACAAATGCGATCTAGAAAGCATAAGAGCGGTGAGCGTGGAGGAAGGCAAAGCACTAGCGGAAACCGAAGGACTATTCTTCATGGAAACATCAGCTCTCGATTCAACAAACGTTAAAACAGCTTTTGAAATGGTAATCCGCGACATCTACACCAATGTTAGCCGGAAACAACTCAACTCCGACACTTATAAAACCGAACTAAGCATGAAGAACCGAGTAAGTCTCGTTAAGGACGATAACAAAGGCTCCACACAAGGCTTTGGTTTCTCTTGCTGTTCTTCCTCGTGACCAAATTATTTTTCTTTTGCTTCATTACTCTACAAATTTTCACAAGATTTTTTTCTTTTGAATTTTATTCAACCATAGAAAAAAGAAAAGAGAAGATCATATAGATTCATAAATTGTAATGTTTCTTTTATGTGTGGATCGTATAGTAAACACTTTATACGAGAATTAATCATTGCATAATCTCTATTTATCTCTTTAAATCCCATATATTTTATACCTATGTTAATTGATTTTCGACAATTTCAATGACATCATCATCTAATAACCACTATCGATGAAACTTAGGCAAAAAACGTTTAAGTGGCTCCAATGGTCACTTCACTCTCAACCACCACTCACAATCTTAAAAAGATGATATGCGCAAGAATCCGACCGCTTATTTCGTCACCATTAGCCTTCACTATCTCTGCAACTAAACACTCTCCAATCAATCTCCGATTATTCCCTCGCCGCTCCTTCTCCGCCGTAACCGCCATGTCTTCTTCAACCCCACAGAGTCAGATCATAGAACACATCGTCCTATTCAAAGCCAAAGACGACGCTGACTCCAACAAAATCACTTCCATGATCAACAACCTTAACGCTCTTGCCTCTCTCGATCAAGTGCTTCACATCTCCACCGCTCCTCTCCACCGTCTTGGATCCTCCGCCTTCACCTTCACTCACGTCCTCCATAGCCGTTACGGATCTAAGGAGGATCTTGCCTCCTACGCTGCGCATCCAGATCACGTCCGTGTTGTTAAGGAATCGGTTTTACCGATCTGCGATGACATCATGGCTGTTGATTGGATCGCCGATCGAGTCCCCGGAACCATAGCGCCGCCTCCTGGTTCGGTTGCGAAACTCACGCTACTGAAATTGAAAGAGAATCTCTCCGATGAGGCGAAATCGGAGATTACGGGAGTGATTAAGGGACTAAGTGAGAAATTTCCAGGAATTGATCAGATTACTGTTGGAGAAAACTTTTCTCCAGCTAGAGCTAAAGGTTTCACTATTGCTTCGATTGCGTATTTCAAGAATTTGGGTGAAATGGAAGCTGTGGATGCTCAGAAGGAGTTGGTGAATTCGCAAAAGGATAAGGTTCGTGATTATGTAGATTCTACCATTGTTGTTGAGTTCGTGGTGCCGTCTTCTTCACAGTCTTCTAGTCTGTAAAAAAGGTTCAATTTCAATCCTTTGAACACTTTGGGACCTATTTGTCATTTGAGAATAAAGCATTGTTGATTAGGAGATTTGAGTGTGATGATATATGCTTTTGTTTTTCCCTTTGAGGAACTCTGTTGGAATAAGAATTTTTAAGCACAAAGAAACTTTGAGCAATCAATATGACTTATGGAATTATAGTAGCTAGCTGCATCAGCTGCTCTTAGAATTGTACACTGTTGCTAACAAAGCCCACATGATGGAATCTTGGCTTCTTCGGTGATATAGGTGTAGTAGTATCTATTTTTCTTGATTCTCTATGGTCTGAAGTGTCGATTACATGCGAAAGTTTCTGTATCCGGTTCAAAAGGGATTCTCATTGCTTGCTTGATGGTTGTTGACTAATGACTGGTAGAGTGTGTTCTTCACATCTGGCTGGTTTGTCTCGAGAATGCCTGCAACTCTGTCCATCTTTCAATGAAGTTTCCTAGCTGCTACGAAACACGATAGTTCCCAGTAACACTAATAAAAAGATAAATGTTTTTATGTTTTCAGAAATGAAAAAAAAATAAAGGCATGGGTAAGCGTAAGGAAGAAATCCCAGACACCAAATACTTTTGTCACGGTTTTGATTGTCACACTTTTGTCACAAAGGGGTATAAAAAGGTTTCGTAAGACAAAATTGGATGAGATAAACTTGTACGATGGATTCTAGGAACTGAGTGTTGACCATAAAAATGATGTTTTGCTTATCGGCAAGATGAATGTAAAACTTTATAAATATAACAAAGATATTTGTTCTTCTAAGCTGGAATTATTGTTCTCGACCTTAAGTTTTATCATCATCTCGTTCGTCTTTAGTCCTTGAGAAACAATATGAATGATATTTTATCGTCCAGCCCTCAAATTTACCTACCAGAGTAAATTAAAGAAAGAAACTAACTTTGTAATAATGACAGATGGATAATAATTATCACTTTATGAAAGAATGGTCGTACAACCTGATGAGTGACCTTTGCTGATCTCTCTGTGAGATCACAAAAATTCAATATAGCTTTCCCTAAAAATATCTAACACATCCCAAAAGACCAAACACATAATAGGATAAAGAGTACACAAAATCCCCCACCCCACCCTCCCAAAAAACTGTCTTTCTTTACGAATACAACCAATCCAAAAGAAGAGACGCAACACATTGTATAGTACACACCTTTCTTCAAACCATAAGAGACTCCATCTTCATCAACCGTAACCACACGGTTTCACAAGGTTCTAGAGATGATCTCTTCTGCTAAAATTCACAAAATCTGCTTCTTCATTTGTATAACCTCGAAGCAAGTAACTATGCCAAATAATCATGAACGAGAATCTCTCACAAAAATGACACCATCTGTGTATCAGACTCTAACTTTGATCCAAAGCTGATCACAGAGTAGGAACAGGAGTAGAAGCAGCTTCCGCTAACTTCTTTTGCTTCTCCTTCTCGATCTCCACTCTTCTCAGCTCCGCATGCTGTGCTATTCCGTTTGCAATCGCCTGGTAAGTGAAGTCCAGTGACTGGTTAAGGTTCTGGAACCTCTGCGCATCTGATGCCTGCATAACTGTATAATAGGCAAGGACATGATTATTAAGCGCTAGAGAAAATGAAGCTCCATATAGTATTTTATATAGATTTTCTTGTATTTTACATGGTCAAAAACGGTAATCAGAGGATTTTATATTGTGGTACCTCTGATTGCATCGACAAAGAATACAAAGGCATCCACCTCATCGATGGGTGACTGAAACTCGTCCTCATCACTAAAGTCATCATCAGAATCATCGTCATCATCATCATCATAGTGGAAGGCCTTTGCCTATGAAACAAATAAACAAATTGGGAAACAGTCAAAGCCAGCAAAAAAAAATAAACCATGCTTCGCAGAAGTAAGTAAACACTTGACAAACCTGTGCAGCTAACTTCTGCATTTTAGCACTTTGTGCTTCATCTCCATCCTCTATATCATCCATCCCCATCTCTCCATCAGACCCATCATCATCATCATCGTCATCATCACTCTGGAGTCCATTCATTTCATCCTCATAATCTACTTCTGTCTCCTTAGCTGCTTCTGCGAGGGAGATTGGAAAGGGGATATATGTAAACATTACCATGCCAATTCAAGAGAAAATGGATCATGAGCATGACATACCAGCTAGCTGATTCTTATATGCAACTAGAAGATCAAGTGTTGCCCTGAAAACACGCTGCAGCGCTTCATCGGGTAATTGACCCCCCGGTAGAGCAAGTAATGAAGTCAAACCCAAGCAGCAAACCTTTTTATCATGTTCCCTGGTACCAAGAGAGTAACCCCTATATCAGCTAATCAAAGCGAACAATAGAATTTCCAACCATTACGCTTATAAGCTAACATGAACAAGATGTGACATAACAAAAAGCATCAACAGTACCTTTTGAAGTTTGCTGGTAGGCCACTTTTTCTCTTTTGCTGCAACATCTGGAACCAAAGGTCAAAGACTTTGGAAGCAAGTCCCGTGTTATGCAATACACCAAGCGTCAAACCTGGATTGTAGTAAAGCATATTTGCCACCTGCGAACAGAAATCAAGATATTTTTTGAGAACTTCATGGTATATAATGCTGGTGCTGTTGTTGCTATTAAAACTCAACCCATCATTGTAATCATCACACAACAACAGACTAAACCGGTAAGTAGAAATCAACCAGTGTCAGGTCAACAAATCCTCCCATAGTTCTTACCACTTGTATAAGAAGAGATTTTACATACGAAGTCTCAGCCCGTTGTAACCGGTCAACAGTAAGACGCAGATATGGTTCAACCCACTGATCCACCTGCCCTTTGCAATTCTGGAAAACAACTTCAATAAGCTTTGGAGCAGACTCAATTTCACTGTCTTCTATGTTTCTGTCGGTCATAAGCTGTAGAAGCGGAAATGTGAGACATATATTAGCTATGCTTGTGCGGAAAAACTTGAGAGATGCTTTATATATGTTACGGCAGCAAAAAATGTCATGTAATACTGAATGTAATATATATTATTCCTTGTGGTTTCACAATAAACAAGATGCCAACAACTTTTTACCACAATAGGCATGTAAAATGAACTCAAAAATTTTGTTAAACCGATAAAGGAAGATTCTATGCTACATGATATCTGCAAGAATTCCATAACTTTACAGTTCCTTACAACAATCAACAAGCACAGACATCTAACTCACTAGCACTATCAGAAGATATACTCACAGTTGAAAGAACGTTATACAGACTTTGCTGATAGTCGGGCTCCTTGCAAGTGAGAAAATGAGCCGTTCCCCTTGATATAAAGTTGTCCATTGGAACCAAAATATCTAAATTTTCAAAGAGTAACGTACGTGAACATAAGTGAAAAAAAAAAATGAATGACGTTGGAGTGCTACAGTGATGGAGTCAGCTATAAAATCCAGAGTCTAGACAAATTTGGAGGCTGTAGAAAAGAAAGCAGATGTGAGAGAAGCCATACTTGGAAAGAAATCGATTGCCCAATCAACCAATGCTTCCACCATTAAAGGCCAGAGACTCCATATATCCAAGGAAATGCTAGGTGAATAAAAGGTCATGTATGATGCAATCTCCAAAACTTCTTCAAATACCTCTGCCATAGCAAATAGGATGAGAATATAAAAACTTCAGTGTCAATTATTAAATAGCTAGAAAAGGAAATTAATAAACTTAAGATCATGATGCTACAACACAACATAAGGCTGACAGAAAAAAAAATGGATTATCCAATTCCGAAAAAAATCAAACTAATGTAATGGACCCAAATGGCGCTACCAAATCAGTCTAAAAGTACATCCTCTGGACACAACTATAACTTAATCATGCTCGGAGTCTACAAACTATAGCCCAAAACTATATGAGAAACTCAAGATGTCTTTCTAGACATCAGTTTACCTTGGCCATCAGTGGTCAACATTTTCTGCATTATTGGAAGTATAGTTGGTTCTATCTCAACGAACAGCTGCGGGAGACTGCTAACAGATTCAAGGATTGTACTTATGGCACGCAAACAACCAACTGCAGCTAAAGCTCCCATGTCATCAGAGTCGTCATTGGCTTCTGACGTGTTTAGACATCTCCAAAATGCAGCCGCCTGAACAAAAGCAAAGGCAGAAATACATATTTATTGCCAAGTTTGAGTATTCAAGAAAACTAGACTCAGAGAACCAATTTTCTTACCAAATTTTGACATAATCCAAAAGCAAAAGGAGCCATCTCTTCGCCAAACTTATCTACGATGGTCTCCAAAGTAAAAACAAGGTCCTCATTCTCTACCTCATTCATGAGTTTGAAAAATTCTGATGGAAGCAGGAACACAATAAGTTTGAAGCGTTAGTTTACTTCCAACAATACTGACCATCTAGTATTCATAAAGAAGGGTAACCTACCATCAAGTAACTGAGGGAGGATTGGACGTATCTCATTTAAATCTGCATTTGACCAGAAAATTTTAATTAGCCACCACACAATCAATAGGCCAACACACACAGATAAACAAGTGCAAACACATTCACGCATATACAAATGTGTAGGAGAAAATCACACACCCTTGCACGCCTCAACAAATGAACGCAATGCAAAAACTGAATCAACACGAACAGGGAGGTCAGGGTCGCGTAGTCCCGAAACAACACTGTGCAATGCTTTACGAAAGTTGTTCTGATCTGAGAAATTGATATGTGCATATTGCCCAGCTACCCAAGCAGCCTACATCCAAAAAATACAACCGTCAAACAGATCAAAGGGGATCACAAAGAATATGACATCTAATACCGGGCAACAACAGGAAGTCTATACTAAACTATCGACAGCATTGCAGCAGTCAACTAAGCAATGATGCTAAGAGTTCTAGAATAAATTGAAGTACAACAGACTTCGTGGAAATGCAAAACATAATCCTCATTCCAGTAAGCTGGTAACAATGGATTACTGAGATATCCACAACACACTTTAAAGCCAAAAATACCTTTGCTCTAAGATGTCCAACTGGACTACTGAAATCAGGGAAAATATGTTGCACCAACATACGCTCTAGTTCAGATTTATAGGGATCCGTTTGCTTCAATTTGTCACAAAGAGCTCCAACAGCAAGCATCGCACCATCTTTTTGGCGATAAGGCTTATGCTCTGCAGGAGCTTCATCATAACTACAAACAGCGGACAAACAAGTTGTCAATAAAACACAACTGATAGGAAAAGTTCCAAGTAGAAGAGCTCAAATGTAATACCTCCTGAAGATCCCAACGATAAACTGAACAAACTTCGGAAGGTTCTCTTTCCCACGTTTTCTAACCAACTCATTTACAAAATCCATGGACGCTGTTCGCGGACTGTACAAGTCTTCAATGATATCTACAGCACAACAAATAACATTACAAAAAATATATTTAAGAATTAAGACTTTTTAAGAAAGTCATTATTATGTAGTACTTACTGTAACCTTTCCTCACATATTCATGTGGGTCTTCCTCCCAAAGCTTTTG